AATCAAAATTATTATGTGATTATATCGAGGATACCAATTCGTGATAATCACTGGGTCCACAGATCTTTAAGTGTCCCCATTGATCAAATACACGTGATTGGTTGCACTCCTATATATACGTTTTAGAGACCTGTAAACGTAAAAACTCTCTTATCACTTTGGTATCTTTTGTTACCATAATAATTTACATTCTTTTCTGTATACATACGTACATATTAATGTTAAGCAAAATGAATTCGAATCCTCTTATAATAAGTAATAACATTAACGCACAAAAAGGTTGTTCAGGATGTGATAAACTTCTTTCCCTGAGTTCATTTATAACGAATCAAAAAACTTTCAGCACCTGTAATACATGTCGTGGCCAAAACAAAGTAATTAAACAGCAAAAAAAAATTCAAAACCAAGATGAAAAACCTGATAGTGAATCGATAATAGAGTTGGGCGATTTTGACGAACATTTAATGCAAATATTTGATTCATATAAATGTAGAAATGATAACCAAGAAAATAATAATCCATCGCAATTTGAATTCTCTTGTACTGTAAATATTTCTACATTGGAAGGAAATTCTAAAGAGCAGGCCGATTATATTATTGATGTAATATCTAAGATTGATGATTATATGTGGATGTAAGTTAATAGATTAAAGATATTATATTAATATCAATGTGTATTGCAATCTATTATATATAATACTTACAAATAATAAACATAATTTAGATATCATAATAAATATAGTTCGAAAAAGTCAAAGTCAATTACTTATACTTATTACTGTTCTCAACGTGATTGCTTGGCTGAAAAGCCAAAAAAACATAATGATATTAATAAGCATCGTAATAGACAACAAATGGAACGTTTTTCCTGTAAAGGATGCATTAAAATTATTATTTCTCAAGATCTTACATTCTCCACTATAGAAATGTATCATTCTTTACATATTTTACGATTAGATAATTCAATTTCGCCAGAAATAAAACAATTTATTTTAAGCAATATTGATTTACTTCCTCGTGAAATTTATAAACGATTAGTTGCACAAAGCTTAAATATCAATATATATCAAAAGCAGATACATTACTGGTGGACAGAAATCGGAAAAGAAAGATTTAAACGTGATGATGATTCTTTTTTTTCTGCGCAAAAATGGTTAAGAGAAAAATCACATCAAATTATCCTTCAAAGAGATATACCACTAGCTATTGGATTCTTAACAACATTATGGAATACAATCAGAAGTTCTAATTTTCAAATTGATGAGATTGGAGTTGACGCTACATGTACAGTACATTATATTATTTATTCATTTATTTATTGTTTATTATATATAAATTTTACCTTTATTTTTTTTATTTTAAAATTATAGATAACACGAATGATTTAAAATTAGAATTATATGTAGTTCACGCACAAATTGATGGGAGTGGATATCCACTTGCTTATTTATTTCTCGAAAATAACGGAAACTGTAGTAATGGAATTCGCACGGGTATCTTAATTGATTTTTTTTTGTGAATTACAAAAGCTTGGGCTTAATCCAGAATTTTTTCCTAACTGACAAAGATTTTGCCCAAGTATCAGCTGCTCGATTTGTTTGGAAGAATATTAAAGTACAACTCTGTCTCTGGCATATTAGAAGAGCTATTGAAACCAGACTTTCAAACAATACGATACCAAAACAAATAAATTATAATAGTCAAATAGCGCATCAACAGTTTCAATTTATTGATCCAAATTTTTGTCCACAACTTAATGATATGTCAAAGTATATTTTTTGTCCTAAGCAATTTTGAAAATCTATATGGGAAATGATGAATCGTCACTTACACCAACATCCATTAATATCTACAATTAATGGTCAATATTTAACAGCACAAATAATTTGCTCTATGGCAGTATATGAAGTTTATAATTTTTGTTACAAAAATTCATTGCCATTTTTTTGGGTCTACCTATGGAATGAATGGTACAGCTCTGAACGTTGGGTTTTATGGTTGCGTGCAGGATGTGATATAAAAATTTCAATTCTCAAAACAAACATGTTTGTGGAAAATCACTGGAAACTGATTAACGAGATTTTTTATATAAATTTTTTCGACCTCGTTTAGATTTAGTAATATTCATAATTATGACACAGGTAATTCCGCATCAACAAAGAAAATTCCAACAAATTTTACTTGGAGTTGAAAAGGCAGAATGGCGCAAATTATTTAAAAGAGAATAGAAGCAGTTAGAATCATGCACTATTAATAATACATACTTTACTGATATTTCAAATTGGGTTTGTGGATGTCCTTATTTTGCTACAAGCAAGTTTTTTATTTGTAAACATCTTGTGCGACAAAAGGGAATAGTAGATGCACAATTTTTTGATCAGGTTCATCGGTATCACGAATATCCTTTAATTAGTACTTCATCAGTATTAATTAATAACAATAATAACAATTACTCTATCTGCACTACTGCTACATCTAATTTAGAAATGGTTGACGATAATGAGGATACTGAGACTTGTGATAAATTATATAATCATCTAATAAGTATAACAAAAAATACACTTGGTATTCTTGAGGATCAACGGGACAAAAAAAATTTATTATGGATAAAAAGTGTAGAAAAAAAATTCAAATCTATAGAACGAATGAATTCTGAAATCATATCATATAAGCGAAGAAGGATAATGCCACGAACGTTTAAAGATCATACAAATAATACTCTATATTTTAATTA